TTTATAAATTAAATCTATAAAACAACCTGTGCATTAAATAAAACCTAGTACCATCACAGTATTTTTACATTTCAACATGTAACATTTCAGAGGGTCACAGAAAAATGGATTTTACAAGAAGGTGCAAGTGAAATATCAGTCAAGCCCAAAGCTTCTGTTTTTTGATTTTTTTAAATTATTCTTAAAAATACATTTTTCTTAAAAATTTCTTATACCCTGGTGGGTGGCACCTTTGCCTCTGTGTATAGTGAGCTCCCATTGCAGCAAACTTAAAGGTTTGGTTCCTCTTGGTGTGTGTTCATCACACTGATGAGGAGTAGCTCTGATGGTGTAGGCTCAGTTAGCAGTAAAAGGGGAATAATTTTCCCCATCTTTGGTGAAAAGAGGACCTGAAAGGCTTGATGGATCTGAATAAATACCCTCAGAGCACAGCCTGTGGTTAAAGCTCCCCCAAGGCAGTGAGGTGGCTTCAAACCATGTGGCTTGTGAGCCACAAATGGGAACTGATGGGACAAAAATAGTGTCTGGGTGCTTCGATGCCTTTGGGATTTGGGGGTGTGTCATTTGCTGCACCCCAATGTGGAAGGTTGGGGAATTATTTCAATGGCAAGTCCTTCTGGGGCCACCTTATGCTCCTTGCTCCATGGTCAGCATGGCTTGGGGTGGGCTTTTGGTGCTCTATAGAAATTGGTCACTGCTGGAGTGTCTGTTGCTTCAGAAATATATAATACTGTGTCAGCCACTCATTTTTAGGATAAAATTCTTTCTGCATAGCAAGATCCTCTTGCTGAAGCCAGGGTGGGTGATCAGGACGTGGCCAGGTAATGACCCCGCCAGTGGCAGCGACACACATCATCACCTCTTGCCATGGGTCCACGTCCTCCTCCTACTGCCCAAGCTACCTGCTCCTGGTGCCCAGCTCAGAAATAGCGCCCATGGGAATTACGCGGTGTTACTTATATTCAGAGAAAATTTGCAACCAAAGTATTAATATATTTTCTGTTAGGTTTGGGTTTTGGGGGGGTTTTGTTTGTTTTTCTCCAACCCTCACTGAAATCAGCAGAAGCTTGGCTGAGTCCTTGCTCTCAGTGTCCTGGGGGGAAAAAAAAAAAGGGCCAAACCCCAAATTATAGTGAACATTTGAAGTCCTGGCCCCTGTCGGGGGAAGGCCAGCGCTAGCAGTCTGTGGTGTCCTCCCTGAGCACATCTCTGGAGTGCTTCCTGGAGTAACCGAGGCCGTGGAGCTGGATGCTGTCCTGCAAATCCTGCCTGGAAAGGCGTCTCCTGAACTCGTCTGTAGTAAAGTAGTAGATGACCGGGTCCACGCAGGAGTTCAGGCTGGCAAGGCACAATGCTACGACATGAAACACTGAGATGACCCTCTGGACGCACTCGTTTTTAATCTTTTTGGTTTTGACAAAGAAATCTAGCGGGAAGCTGATGTGATAAGGTCCAAAGCAAATCAGAAATACCAGAGCGCAGGTGAGAATCATCTTTAAAGCCTTTTTTTTCTCTCCGAGGTCATGTGAAGCAGAATTTTTTTCTTTGAGTGATAAGATAGTCTTCCAGGAGCAGTAGAGGATGATGAGCAGGGGTGTCACGAACCCCACCAACTCACCTAACGTCATCATGGTGATCGAGCTGGGAAGGTCCACTTGCGTTACGGGGAGATCCACAAAACACGTGTTTTTAGCTTCTGGGTGAAGCCTGAGAAGCGGGAAAGGCAAACAGCCGATGCAGACCACGACCCAGCCAACGATGCTGATGTACACGTCGCAGACGCGTTTGCAGTTGCTGAATTTGAAGGGGTGCATAAGAAACAAATATCGCCTCACGCTGATGCAAACCAAGAAGTAGATGCTTGCGTACATATTGACGTACTTCAGGTAGAAGCAAAGCATGCAGAGACCTCCTCCAAACTCCCACGTCCCGGTCAAGTAGTAGAAAATCCTCAGGGGCAAGGACAAAACCTGCAATAAGTCAGCAATGGCTAAGTTGATCATAAATATTACAGCTCGTTTAGTCTCTTTCATGTACCCGTAAAAGACCCACAAAGCCAGCGTGTTTCCGATGAGCCCAGGGATCAGGATGAAGGTGTACGTAATCGCGTAGTAGGGCTTGAGGTCTATTTCAGTGCAGGTTGAACTGTTCCTCATGGTTGTGCTCCAGATCTGTGCTCAGCCCCGGCATGATAACATGTTCCTCACTATCGTCCCGCCAGCAGGTTGTCCTCAGGTTCTTGGTGCTTCATGAAAAATGTTCAGCCCCGGTGTCCACCTCCAAGGCTTCGGCTACCAGGTCATCTTGTCTGCTCTGGAGAGGAGCTTCGTTATGTGGTGAGTTAATTAAAGCTCTGCTCATGTGCTCGGCTCATGCTCTCTGTCGGAAATTACCAACCTCACGTAGGGTTGGCAGGGAGAGGATCCACACCAAGAAACGCATCGTCGTGTGCCGAAGCAGTCAACGGTTCCCCACCACACCTCTATCACCTCTTGGGTGGCATTTCAGCCACTTGTCTCAATGCAGGAGTTGGACCATCAACGTGGCCCCACAGCTGGAAGACAGAAAGGAGCAGTTTTAACCCTGCGGGGAGACATGGGACTCACAGAGCAAAAGGAACAGGAAACTTGCAGGAGCGGCGGGAGCATCTCTCCAGCAGGAACCTATTGCTGGTGGCATCTGCAGTGGTCACCTCTTCCACCTGCCCAGTGCCATGCCTCACACAGGTGCAAAACCATAAATAGAAAATGTGTTTAACTGCTGCTACAAACCCCCCTCCCACGCTGTACCGCCGAGCAGAAGTCCCCCCCGATCACGGGGTGTATTTAACTTGCTGCCAGGTTTCTGCAGCTATGTCTTTCCCAGCTCCAGCTTTTCCGTATGGATTTCCCTCTGCCCCTGGTTGTGTTGGTCTCCCCACGCCCGAGGGCGCGGAGATGCTCTGGCGAGCGCTGTGCCTGCATCCCTCCTCGCCACCCTGCCGCAGGCAGGGGGATGCTCTGCCCTCACACAGCATCCATGACTTTTGACGCTCCCTTTGTCTTCCCAGGAAATCCCCGCAAGGATGTCCCACCCACACCACGGCTGTAGACAGCCAAGGAGAAGACAGAATGAAGCCTGCTCCTGATGGAAATGAGCCCAGCACGCGCCTGAGAAATGGACATTTCCCACAGCAGGGAAGTCCCTGGTCGGTGGCTTTCACCAACCCCAGGTCAGCTTTTTCATTTACCTTTCACAAACAGAATATAAACCGTACGTGCAGGCAAGCAGGGGCGACTGGCGCACTTATTGAACACTTTTTGCTGCAGGACTACCTGTGTTATATTAAATTTGACTTTCTCACAACTGCTTTTTGTAAGCCTTTCCTTTCCCCATCTTGTGCATGCGGCTGCTGTGGCTGTTGGAAATGCCAGACACCATCACAACGATGACTGTAGTTGGACATTATTTTTAAATTCTTTGCGTAGTAAGCAGCTGATATTATCTGAAGCTGTCAGACAGAAAAACAAAAAGCAAAACAAAAACCAACAAAACGGATCTGATAAATATAGAGGAAATTCAGATCTCTGTCCAAACTCTCTCAGCTTTGCCTTTTGCTTCAGGTTGAAGAATTAACCGACAGGTCCAAGTGGGAAAAGTTTGTAGGTACCAACCAAGATGCCAAAGGCGCATTTATAAAGGCAAAATTCTACCCTGCTGTTTTTTCCTGTGCTTTGAGGCATAGGTATTGAAATGTGAACATCTATTAATGCAGCCGATGTTCAGCACTCGCCAGGGTGATTCCATCGAAACCTTGAAGTAGCTTTAGGTGGAAACAGAAAATCTACAAAAGGAAACAGTCCGGGGGCAGCTTTCTGTGTCTATTTGTGTAGTTTCTCTGACCTACCATTGAGGAACGAGTCCAATGAGACTGGGATCTCGTCCTTTCTTCCAGGGAGCCAGCATCTGACGTAACCAGCAGAGCAAAAAGGCTCGTGAAATAATCCCATTAAACTTCACAAGCAACAATTAATAAGCTGTAGAGTTAATTAGCCTTCTGCTCAAAGGCTTTCCAGTTCTTTTATTAATTCTCCACCTGGCTTACAACGCACAAAGCTGCACAACTCATTCTAGAAACGTGAGCAATCTCTTCATCATGCAGGAAAGCTAGCTGGTTTTATCCATCATTGGTGGGTAACTTGGAGCTGGACCGGCGCAAGTAACTGGGAGGGGTTGTGGATGGGGCTGGTTTTTGGCAGTACTGGTCATGCCCTGCGGTTCCTGGAGCTGCAGAGCTCGCCTTGGGCAGCTGGTTAACCCCTTTGGGGCTTCCTGACAACACCACCTGCGTCAGGCAGGTTCCTCCCTTCTCCTCTGTACTGGGATTGAGCCAAACCAGTTGACCAAAACCAGTACATCCTCCCCGTGTGGTCGGAAATTGGTGTTCTGGGCTTGAAAAAATGCTGAGTGTCGGTACCGGCAGAGCAGGCTGCACTGGGAGAGCATCCGGAGCTGCGCGGTGTGGACTGGTACCCAGGGGATGGGAGGGACGCTCTCTTGGGAAGGATGCTCTCTGTCGTGTTGGATTTCCATGGCGATGCTGAGGGCCTGGGAAGATGTTACAGCTGCACAGCTTTGCCTTGGCTTGATTTGCATTTTTTTAACCCTGAATGTCTCAACTTCTTGCTTGAACTTTGCTCTGAAGCAGCAGCAGCAAGGAGCTCGGGTGACTTTGCGGTGCCACGGCTCGCTGCCTGTCCACGTGTCCTGCTCCTGCAGATGGGGAGCATCTCTGGGGGCGTTTTGAGATAAAGCCCCTAAACCTACATCACCCAGATCTTCCTTCCAGTGATTTTTTTAAGTTTGGGGTTGGTGTTTTGTTGTTTTTTGGTTTTTGTTTGGTTTTTGTTTGTTTGTTTTAATTTATTTTTTTTTAAAACAAGCTCGTCTTTCCTCTCATCTCTTGCCCAGGGGCTCCTATCCCCCACTTAGGGAGGCAGAATCAGGCTCCTTTCCCTCTGGCTGCATTCCCAGGTGGGTAAACTTCCCCCCACCTCTGTCGCTGGCCCATGAGACACACAAAAGGAAAGACAAGGTGCCGTCCCAGCCCGGCTGTCCCCAGCCCAGTGCACACACACCTGCACACCGGCATTTTTCCTCCCGCCCCCTCCCCAGTGCCTGTATTTCCCCATCCCCATGACACAGCAACTCCCCAGCAACACCATCACCCCCTGCTCCCCCCAGCCCCTTGCAGCATCTTCTGCCCCTCCCTGAGGCTGCAAACCCACAGCAGGAGGGGTCCCAGAAAGCCAGGGAGCAGCAAGGGGCACTCAGAAATGTCACTGTGAGAGTGGCCGCCCTTGGAGGGGGGGTAAACACACGGCGATGTGAGAAAACGGTGCTTTGGAAATCCCGAGCAGCAACGTTTCGGAGTTCAGTCCAACACGCTATGTGAAAACCAACAGGATGCTAAAAAAAGCTGCAGAAAGAGGAAATTTCGTTTCGTGTGCTCTGCACTCGCTTCCCCTGGGGGGGGTTGTCTGCTGCCGTAGGTGCAAGACTCCCCCCAGGCACAGCTTCCTTCTGCCCCTGAGTGGTTTTTCCCCCCCTATTTTGCCAAGGAGACCCCCCCAGTCAGCCATGTCAGGGCAGTGGGTGAAGATTTCTCATTTGTACTTAACAAGTCAGAAACACCGGGGGAGTTTAGTAGCCAGCCTTTACAACCGGGGCTGGTTATCGCGTGTGAAAGCTGGGCACGTGTTGTGTG